AATGCAAAGAAACAATAGCAGATATACCTTTTGTTATGTATATGTATTATATACACACACATGTGTATATATAAAAGTATTCTACATATAAATGTATATTCTCTATATAAATATATATGATTTATATATAAATGTATATACACATTCTATATTTAAAGGTATATACACATAAACACATTGCACATACAGACTCATAAGAAAGTTACATTGTAAATAGTCAGTGTAGAGTAGTTAGGGAAGATTTAAATAAATACATTGTTTTAGCACTAAGGCCTTCATAACTAACAAGGGTAAAACTAATTAACAACAAAACTATAACATAGAAGATGGTGCCTATATCTTGAAACTTTGAATACCTCTGCTCTTCCTAAAAATATCGTAATAATTGGACACACATTTTATTGTCATCTCATATGCTTACTCAATTGAATAATTTCCATTTTACAAGTAAAGTTTCAGGTGTTAACAGGTCCTTTTCTGTTTGAAAATGCTGATTTTAATTACTCGGACTTCAGTTATGATCCAGAAGAGAGGAGAGGGCTAGGATATTTAAATATAATTGAAGATCTCTTTCCTTCATTTATTCCTTCTCTTAAGTTTAAATTTTTGCTTGATCAGTTTCCCTTATGAAGAACAAAACTGGCTTTTCTATGGAATAATATGACTCATGAATCTAAGTTGCATTTCACTATGTATATACCTAAATTTGATTAAGTAGGCGTGCAAATTTTGGCTGAACAACCATCATAGAATTGAATGGCTGCACAGAAATGAATTATATTTAATTATTTAATAATCGCTCATGAATTACCCATGAGTGAAACTTGAACTGAAAGTCACAACATAAAATATATTACAAACATTCTGCAGTTTGAATTATGGCTATGCACACATAATGCATAAAGTCTGAAAACTGGTCTACCATACATCTTCTAAGCTAATATTTAGAGTTCAGTCAAAGATACACTACTTATGAGTATAAGCTGTAAATGAAAAATAAAACTTGTATCAGTGTTAAACTATTGTCTACTTTATATATGTAAAATATATTCTTACCTAAATATGTTCAAATTAACCCAAAACAAAATTACCTAACTTTTGAAAGTTATTCATAACATATACAACAGAGATAAATAAAATTTCTGTTTATCTCAATAAAATAAAAATATTGATTTAGAAATAAAATTATATGCCACTTTTTAGAGGAGCTAAACAGAACTTCAATTAAGTGTACTTTTACATCTTTCTGTCTGGAAAATTTAACGAGCACCATGTACAGGTTGCCATTATACTTCATAAAATGAGGAAGTAGAAGTTTGATTATATTAAGTTATAGAATTATCATTAGTTTTATACAGTTGGAGAACTATAGATCTCAGTGAGTTTATGGATATTAATAAGATAACAAAGAAATTATTAGTATAGGATAGCTTCACTTTATATTTTCAGATGTATTGAAATGGAATAATCATAAGACAAATATTGTAAATGTATTTTAGAAAATTATACTTATTTACAGAATTTATAGGTCTATTTAGAAAGTGGTACACACTGCTACTCAAAATTGGCATGGAAGGGTTCCTAAAAAGGAAGAACTATAAACATATTTTTATAAGAAATTTAATTATCAAAAAGGAAGCATTAGAGAGAAAAATGAAGTTGGGTTTCTTCTCTTTCTTTTATTTTTAACAACATTGAAATGTGTTCTCTTCAGGACATACATAATTTTTCCAAGTATATAAATTACCATGTTTTATTTATCATAATAGATACTTACAGGTGTAGCATAAAGAGAATTTCCCCTTTTAACTTTTTAACTTATTTTTGACTCATTAGGACACATTATCTTTTTAATATTTCAGAGTTCATACAGAAATGGAAAAAACAACTTGATATAATGAGTTGTTTTATTTTTTTAAAGCCTGTCAGCTACATTAAGAAGGACCCATTTTTGCCTGTGTCTCACATTCAGGAAATAATTTGGTTCCTGCTCCTTTCATCCAGCATTGGCCAGAGAACTCCTAAGATGTCTTAATATACAAAAAGGATTTTCATGTTTGAACTCGAGGAATCCTTAACCCTCAAAATATGTATTCTAAACTGGTAACCCCATTGAATACTAGAGGAATAACAATTATGTGTAACTATGGTACATTATAACATAGCCTAAGAATCAGCTTCTCCTTCCCAATTCCAGATGTAAGTATCCAACGGAAAACTCCACACCTGTGTTTGGAGGTAAGATAGGATCTTACTCAGAACAGGTAAATAACTTGAACTAATACTTTCTACCCAACCCCCATTCTTACTCAACAGCTCCCTCCCTCCACTCTTCTTTATATATGACAAGTCTATCTTTCTGTGTTGGGACCAACCAACTATAATCATTCTTGAATCTCCTACACTGCATTCATTCCACAAAATAATCCTGTTGACTTTCTTTTTGGTTTATTCCAAAACCAGTCACTACAGAGAACTTACATTACTTCCACCAGGTCCCCAAGTGCTTATTTCTTTATCTGATTCTTAAACTAGTTTTTAATAACTTGTACTTTTGTTTGTGGTTTGCCCTTATATCTGTTCTTCATACAATGGAACAATCTTACTAAAATATATGTCAGATCATGCCACAGCTCTACTCAAAATCTTCTAATAATTTTGAATCTCACTCAAAGTAAATTTTGAGGCTCTTGTCATGTCTTTAAGGAATTTCATGAGCTAGAATTCGCTATCTGCCCAGCCTCCCTTGCTCACTACATTTCAGACACTCTGGCTTCTTTGTTATCCTTCACATCGAAAAAGCATGCTTCATCTTGTTGGATATTTTCAATTGCTCTTCCCTCACCTAGAATGTGCTCTCTCTAGATATTCACATGCTCAATCCCACACTTCTTTCAGAATCTACTCAAATGTCACAGTATTTCAGAAGTCTGCACTGACGACCCTGTAGAAAAGAAAAATACCTTTATCACCATCCTCATTATCTTTGTCTAATGTTAAAAGCACTGATCGCTAATGTAACGTAATTATGAGTTTTCTTACCACTTGACTTCTTTTGTCTAGAATGTAAGCCTCAATAGATCATAGGTTTGTCACTAACAGTGTCTTGTCCATAACAGGATCTCAAATATTATTAGTTGAATAAAGTAAATTTGGAGATATAAAGATAAATGCTACATGCTCCATGTTGACAACACAGCAACATAAAATTTAGGACAGAATTTTCCTTCCACTACTCCCCAATTTGATTATTCTAATCAATGAGCCAATGAACAAAATATACTTACAGAAATAACTGCAATTCACTCAATAATTTAATATTTTTAAGGATGTGTTTTTTGCTATGTTCCATGGAATAAATGCCGAGTAAGTAGACATTGCATTAGGCAAATACAATCTAAAGATATATTTCTTAGATAATTTCTATTCATTTATAAATGTTAGATAATTCAGAGTAGAGTGCTTCTATTCAGGAAAGCAATTATAATTTACCCTTAGGGTAAATTTATAAGAAAAGAAAACAATTTTTAAAGTACTTTAAATATTTCATCACTTCAAATGGAATAGAGTGGCTCAAATACAATTATGTATCTGTGTTCCTTCAATAAATTCCATCATAAAGAAGACAAAGTTAGGTATGAATCTACAATGATAAAACAAATCAGTAAGAAGAACAGAGATCAGAAAAAAGAAACAGAAAAGAAAATGAGTAATAACTGTCTTAATAAAATGGCATAAACAGAAAGCTAATGTTTGTATGGAAATGGTATGCCCAGACCACACAGAGCACTTATAGCAACAAAGACAACAATTTTCAAAAAAACAAGTATGTGCACAGCTGAAATTCAAACAGCAAAATGACCACTCTTCTCTGAAAATACTGAACCAGTTAACTAAATGTGAGGACATCAGGCATATTTGTTGGCTAATGTATTAAACAAAAAGGGAAGAATCAAGTGAAATTCTACACTATTGATCATGAAATCCCAGTACCATATCACAGCTCAAGTGTCAGATGCTGCCACCAAGCTTATTCATCTATTGGCAGATCACAATTAAGGTTTCGTCTTTGTGGAAAACCAACCAACTCAAGGGAAAAGACTTGCAGTTATTCTCAGTGAATAATCTGCCAATGAAAGAATTGAATTAACTCAGTCCATAGCAATGTCCACTGGTGGTTTACCACCTCGAATTACCAGCAGTTCTCGGTTATAGTACATAACTCTAAAATATAAGACTATCAAAAATCATCTGATACTTGAATAAAGCCTTCATAATAAAAGACAAAAGTCAAACAAACCAATGGACAAAATAATCTAGAAGAAAATGAATCAAAGTCAGGGGCAGAAGATGTCTGAAAACAAAGAGGGGAAAAAACAAAATCAATGAATGTACTAGAAGACGTGAAGTAAGATATTAAGTGCAATAAATAATAGCAAGAAGCTTATAACAACTTGCACTCATAAAACAAGAACTAGCTCTTGCAAACTGAAGCAATTAAAATAAGTTTTAATAGAATGTCCCAGAAAATAGAAAAACAATTAAGATTATAGAAAAGAGGCAGAAAGAGAGAGTGAGTGTGAAAGGGAGAGGCAGGTGGAAAGAGAACAGAAGAGGAAATGTGAGAATTATGGAGGATTCCAGGGTGTCTAGCAAAGTAAATTTCCATGAGACAATAGAAAGATACATATAATTTGGGCTGTTTTTATTTTTCTAACATAGGTGTGATACTTATTTTTTATTTTATTTGTAATTTATTAAAAAAACTTTACATTATTTTAAGGTTAGTTTTATGTACAGTTAGTACAAAATATTGGCTACATTCCCCGTGTTATACAATACATCTTTGACCTATCTTACACATGATAGTTTGTATCTCCGACTCCCCCACCCTTATATTTCCCCTCCATCCCTCCCCACTGGTAACCACTAGTTTGTTCTCTATATCTGTGAGACTGCTTCTTGTTTGTTATATTCACTAGTTTGTTGTATTTTTTAGATTATGCATATTGTGATATCATACAATATTGAAATTTCTCTGTGGTGTTTTTATTTATCAGCATGGGGTAAAGGAGTAGGGAATAAAACATCAGAACCTCTTTGAGGGGTCCAAGTGATCTAATGGGTTCCAAGGCAAAATATTTATAGAGGAAAAATATTTACACCCTGCTTAGATGCTTTGGTCAGTTTCCTGCAATATGACCTACTTTTAATAACATATTTAAATTGTCACAAGCCTGCTAAAGAAAGCAAAGAATTACTTTTTTACTGAGAAATAACAATTTGCTAATTTAATTTACTAAATTTATTTTACTAAGTAAAAATTTACTAAGAAATAAAGTTTGACTTGGCAATTTAAAAACAGCAATGTAAAAATGACAAACCTTCCTCCCCTCCCCACCAAAAAGGGCTGAAAGTGTAAAGTACATACTTATAACTTCTGTTATAATTTTAAGATACATATATATAATCTATAATAAATTCAACTTAAACATTTTAAAATGTAAACATGACAACTAGACACTTCAAAATGCTTCTGTTTTAAGTTTTCTGTCATTCTGTTGTCCCCATTTTATGAATTTTACTATTGGCTTGTTTTTTCTGATCTAAAGTAATACAATTAAATACAATTTAAAAATTAAAACTCTTCTATATCTTCATTGTTTTAAAAATTCTCTCTGAATAATGTGTTACACTTGTTAGAACACGGGGAGTCTCTTATTACAGTGTTTTCCCTCCTTTTCACCTTGTTTCTGCATAAGTTACAATCAGGAAAATTCTCTTTCAGTGTTTAATTAATGGTAAGTCTGTAATTAGTCAAAATCTCACAAGGAGTTTTGCTTTGGCGGAGACCGCTGTCTCCATAATTATGCAGTTTGTGCTTTACTCAGAAGCGCTTCATGCATGCATCCTAAAAGAGTGAAATCAAGCCCTCTTCCCTTCACCAGGTGCTCTTCATTGGCTTGGAGGTGTACATCCATCCCGGGAACATTTTCTGACTTTTCTGACTAAAGGAAATGCATTCAGAGAAGGTATTTTTTAACCTATAGCAAAGCAACTTAGACATTTCCAAAATAGCTTCTTTAAAATCTTTGAAATTATTTTGATCATTAAACAATACTGATTTTAGTGACTGTTGATAAATATCTCTATACTTATGCAATTATCAATCATTTATACAATTAATAGGTATTTGAGGTTGTATTGCTTCTATTCTGAATGATAATTACAAAAGCCAAGAAGAGACATAGATAACATAAAAGAGAATAGAAAGTTAGTGAGATGAAAAATTAATACTCATTGAGCAACTTTACTTGAGTATTTTAAGTATTTTATTGAATGCAGTGGAAGGAAGGAAATTTACACTTTGACAGTTAACGTTAGAAATTCATTCAAGAATATACTAAAAGGTGTAAAATATACAATTAAGCTGATTTGAAAGAACAATCGACTATCAACATGTCTAAAGTGAATAATCAGAGAACATTAGGGCAAACTGAATCTTAAACCCTTCTCTAGAGGGATTAGAAGACCCACTTCCTGTAACTTCATCCCTTTCCATATTTAGCACTTGCAGAAAATATCTAGCATTACGTGTTCACATCAAGTTTTCTATAAAGAGAAGCGGAAATATCAAGGAGTCGTTATGTAAAATAAATGAAGTGGATCTCAGATAATTTTTTAAAGAATTTTAAAAGTGTTTTATAATAAATTAGAGATAAGTAATAAAGAATAAATTTTAGCCATGGCAGCTTATAAATATGTTAAGGAAATCAACATACCGTTATAACCAGATTTACTGATTATCTTTTCCTATATATACTTAAATATAGTTAGTAATAAGTTATATTTGAAAACTTATAATAGACTTTCCATCAGTATTTAAAGATACTAATTGTTACCTATAAATATAAATATAGAATTTGAGACAATATTTTATTTTCAAACTTAGAGTGAATTGATTCTAAAACTTAGGTTTTATTAGGAAACTGTATCTATTATGAGAGTATCTGACAATTATGATAATTTATTGTTTGCCTTGACAGCTGAAGTCCCAATGCTATATCCAGATATAGATATATCTGAAACTAGATGATTCATATGTATATTTCTTTAATTCTCTATGTACTCCAAGATCATTATCAAGAACTCCATTTGTTATTGTACAAATTCAAATCCTGGCTTTGCATTCTTTATGGATAACAGAATTATAAGTAATAAAATTATCTACCAAGAGTGTTCTCATTTGGCATGCTCAGTACTTTATAGAGATTATATCTAAATCTCAAAACAACCATCAAAGATAATAATTATTCTGTCTACTTAAAATAAGAAAGTTAAATCTTGGATAGTTTATGTAACTTCCTAGATGTTAGTCATCTGATAATTGAAAAAGCCAGGATGTTAACACAAGATGTTAACTATTGATTTGGGGCTTTATCTTCACTAAATATATACTTTAATATATACTTGTGTTACAATGACATGGTAATTGTTACATGTCCCATGTGTTAAGTTAGCATAGGGTGCATAAAATTCTTGATTTTTTTTAGGTATGTGGCATATTTTCCAAATACGATTATGAATTATTGAATTATGTATTTGTACCTCTTTCATCCTTTATATGAAGCCAAATATCATTTCTTTTAAATGCTTAATTATTATCACAAAAGTAACTATATAACTATTAACAACTGTCTTCCGTGGACTGTATATTTATTGATACATTTAATTTTCAAAACACTCTTGGAGAGTAAGTGCTGTTGTTATCACTCATAGTTTATAGATGATGAAACACAAGGATGGAGATGCCAACTAAAGAATGTCACTGAAACTCACAGCTCTCAAGCTGTGCATTATTTGTCAGCAATTTTGGCACCCACAAAGGGGCTCAAGGCAGACTTCTCCCCTTCACCTGAACTCTGTGAGGGTCCAGACCCTTGGCACCAGCAAGGGCCCCTTGCACCCATCCTCTTTTCCACTGGCTCCAGATGAACTGGAGTGAGTCTCTCCTGATTCTCAGACCTCCTGATTATGGGTTGATGTTACTGAGTTTTATTTGGTGGTGGATAACAGGTACCTGATGGAGACATGCTGAATGACAAGGGGGAAAGACACCTCCCCAACCCCAGCTCAAACATATTGGGAAAATCCAGTTGAAAGACACTGAGATTTGCTCAGTTGAAAGATAGTAAGTGGTCTGGATTGAGTGATTAGGTAGGAGGCTGGCCTAATGTCTTTCCTCAACTAGGCTAAATGAAGAGTCTCAGAAAGTCACCCTCCAACTAGAACCCCAGCCAGATTTATGTATGTATGGAAACTGTACTTACAATTAAAAGAAATCTTGCTCTGAAGATGGCCAAGATGAGGCTCTTTTGACATTCCAAAACTGGCTTTTGTGCACACAGTTGGAGAAAGTAGCTTAGGAAAATATCTTTTTAGATTTCTGACCCTAAGAAAATAAGTCCTTCTCCAAAGAGCTCACACTTCTCAGCCTGTGTCTTCAGATGTAAATGTTCTACCAGGGCTCTCAGGAAATCTTGTTTTACTTTTATCTTCATATTCAATTCCTGAGATTGGGGGAAAAAAAAGAGGCGTTATTCCCACTGTTATTTATAACTAGTGAATTTTCTATTGTAATATATGATTTCTGACTGAGTATTAAAAATGGATCTATGAAATCTCTCCTTGTGTCTGTCTATACATCTCTGTGCATATTATAGATATAATATGTCTCTAACTCCAGACAGTGTATCAAGTTAATTTGTAAATGAGCTGTATTTAATTGGCATAAAGAAAACTAAGCACTTATATAAATTCTCAGAAATATGAAAGAAACTAACCCTAATGAATTTCAGGTTCATGTGATCTGGAAAATATTAAGTATTAAATTAATATGTTACATTAAAGTTAGTTTGTTGTTTAATTAATACAGACATGCCATTAAACTCACCAACATTTAGTATAACACTTTTATTGTATCTTGGTTTACTAGAAGTCAATTAAGTTTTTATTATTTCTGTTACAAATATTTTTCAGCAAAAAAATGACATGGTATGTTGAAATTTTATAGGTAAATTAAATGTGGTAAGAGTTCTTAGGTTAACTCTTTAGAAATAATTATATTCAGAAATATCCACTTAAAATTGTTTCCTCAGATATTTAGAACTTTAGAGTTCTGCTAAATTAAATTAAATTAAATAATGGAAGGTCACTGAATAGTGAGATCATTCCTCAGTAAAATAAGATCCTGGGACATTAATTACTGAATATAGGCTTTATTTCATAGAGCAATTAAAGATATTTAGGACTACTAATTAATATGTTTTGTGTCAGACTGAGACTCTTTCTCTAAGAAAGCACACGTTTTCAGAAATTATAAATAATATTTATAATCTTGCCTATATGCAAAAAGCTGGTATATAATTACTTACTTCTTGGTTTTTACTAGAAATTAAGTTTTTTAAGAGTTGAGAATTCTAGATTAAAATATGTAATTAAAACTACTAGGGCAAACACCTTTGTACGCAAGGAAAAATCTGAAGGTAAAAATGGAAGTTACAGAAGGTTGTGGAAAAGAAACTCTGTATGTGAATGGGATTAGCTAAGAATAGGAAAAATCTAATTCAGTACATGAAATTTAACATTAAAGATAAAATGGCACAAACCTTTTCTTAGAATATTAATCTGCTTTGATAATAGATTGTAAATTTTCCTTACCTTTTAACTAATCTGTTATAACTTTCTGTGTTTGTCTCTGAAATCTATTATTGTCACTTGGTTAGATGAATAAGATTGTTTCACATTGACCTATGATCCTATTTGACCAAGTGTTTTAAGACCTTTTGATATTTTTGACAAAATTCCTAAAGATGAAATTCTAAATGGATTTCTTTGACCTCAGGCTAACTTTGAGGTTTTCCAGAGGGCCTGTGGAACACCTCAAGAGATTTGTTTCCTCTCCTTATCAAAAAGAGATACTAAATCAATTAGGCTTACTTGGTATTCTAAATTACATGGGAAGCATTGTCAAATGAGTGATAAACCTTCTTAGGTTCTAGTGTATGGAAAAACTTTATAAATATAGATATTCTAGAAATTGTATAGAATTTTTAAAACTGTGTTCTGGTATAATGTTATCAGTCATAATTCTAGTTATTATCTTAAAATGCTGTATGTCATAGTAGTAACCAAGTTTACTTGTCAATTGTATTGTGATCAAATCTTTAACCATGCCTTTAAATATTTGATCATTTATAATAATTATTTTTGAACTTTGATGTTTTGCCAAAAAAATCTCTTAAGGTGTCCTAAGACTCACTTCCCAAATGGCTTCTTATTATTATGTTACATTATTACAAAGTTTAATAGAATTATTAAAAGGGCACTCTAAGTTTTGTTTCTGTAGCTTATCACAGTAATCTATCTTTGAATGAACATCAGGTGTCCCATGACCCACAACCTGGAGATTATGCATACTGGAAAAGACATCATTTAAAGAATTGTCTCCAACTTAGATGAAAAAGCCCTTATCAATTACTATTAAATACCTCATGCACAGGAAAACTGAAGGGAATTGACACTTGCATGTGTATTTTCCACTTAGAAGGATTCCTGGAACCCCACTGGTCTATAGAGAAGACTGCTGACCTCAAACTCACCTTAAAATGATGCTCAAACAATAGAGAAACAGTACCCACAACAGAATGAGAAGACGAGATCAGTAGACAGGTATCACAAAATGCCAGACCTAACTTGTATGATAATACATGTTTTCTTAACTTCTTAAACTTTTGCATGTGTTCAAATCATTTTTTCCCTATCATAAGCACAATCTTATGCAAAGTTTTACAATTAATCCAATAATTGGGCTTATGATCAGTTACCTACATCCAGTACTTTTGGCTTACGTTGGTGGATTCTGCCTCTCCAAGGCTCTAATTGTATGGCCCTTAGGAAATTTGTTTTAGAAGAAAGAAGTTATATTTCTGTTGAGGCAACTATTACTATTACTAGATGGGAGTCCCCTTACTTGGGCAAATAATCCTACTTGTTCTGACCATGGCCATAAATATACATTGTTCTTTAAGGTTACTCAAGCTCAGTCAGTACAGTGAGCTGAATCCGTGTCAAATACCATAATTCCCACTTATTAGGAGGAACCCTCATGCAATTATGGGAGAGATACATAAGGTTAACACCGGGCTATAGTCATTTAAGTTTAAGAGCCCCCTTATGTTGGGAACCATTGAACCATACTAAGGATAATCAGTTTAATAACACTAGGAAATTGGGCTGGGTGTCTTCAGAAAAATGTCAACATATAACTACCTTTAAGATAGTGATTCATGTGAGACTGACTGGATCAGATGACCTGGGGATATACTGGGCAACAATGAATGGAAGTTTTTGGCATAAATTCTTACTTATGACCCTATTAACGGTACTACTATATCACTAGGAAAATAGTATTCTGATTATTTTTCAAGAATGTGGTTTCTTGCATAACCAAATGTGTGACTGAGCCCCCAATAATGATGAAGTGACTTGAAATGATTGACCAAATACATAGTTCTGTATGAGATCAATGATTGTCATACTAGAACTCTAGATACTGAAAGAAGCAACAAGAAGGAATATTTTCCTGGATCATAACAGACTAGTAAGACACGTGGTCCAGTGACACCTGGCTACATCTAATAGGGCCAGGTCTTCTAATAGCACATTGAATGACTTATCAATAAAATCCTGGCCTGACCTACGAAGGAGGATTCCTAGCACCATAGGAGAAAATGGTCATGAAATGCCTTCTGAACCTTTGTTGAATTTATAACCATGAGGGGACACAGCCAACCAAAGAATGTCACTTGCCATCTGGCTCTACAAGGATCAAACCACTGCAGTTGTTGACCTTCAACACATGTTGAAAGGAATTCAGGGTGGAGATCAGGAATAATGCGTTCTGTGCTCTGGGAAAACTGTACGTCCCCTTATCCAAAATTACATATACACTGACTTCCCCTCTACCTCTTCAGAGTAGTTTTACAGAGCTGTCTGATAGGCTGTCTCCTGGCCTATGGTCCGAATAAGTTCCTAAATAAAACTGAAATTCACAACTCTCACGTTGTACATTTTAATGTCAGTTGACAGAGCTTGAATAAATTACCCAAGGTCATATACTTTGCAAGTAATAGGGTTGGGATTTAAATGCAGCTATTCTTGATACACACAGAAGAAAATACTTTTATGAAAGTGTTGCCGGGAAAGGGGGAATAAAAGTTATCTCAGTTCTTAGTCACCCTCAAAAAATAAATTCTTAATGAGAGACAAAAATCATGACATAAACAAGATTTATTAGTGAAGTAAAAAGGTAGTAAAATATAGTACACCCCCAAGAATTGGGAGCCAGCCAATCCAAGAGAGGAACAATGGCACCTCTCCTTTGTTTTTCCTGTTCCTATATCCTGACTTAGGGGGCGTTTTTGTGATTGAGTGATTGATTCACGACTCAGGTTCTATGAGTGCTCAGGCTGACTGATACAGCTCATGAGGCTTGTGCTCAGTCATGTCCACCTCTTTTACACATGTATTTACCCATGATGCACCTAGAGAAGCCTATGGGAGGGGGCTCAAACTGTAATGTTAATTACATTGTAATGAGCACTGGGTCAAGTTAAGCCAGGTCCTTCTGTCTATTGTGCAGCCACAGCTTTTAATCCTAGCTGGCTTCTTTCCTGGCCTTCATTTAGAAAAAGTAAAAGTTTTTGGAGCCCCTTATCCTGAGTGCAGGTGTACTGTTATTTTCTGGGTTGCTCCTTTCCCTTTCCTTTCCCCCTGCCCAGTACTCATTTCTATCTAACTGCCTAAGAAAGTAGTTAGTAACAGAACTAACATTGTGCATGAGTTTCTTTTATAGGAATATTTTAAATAAATACACTTTAGACATATGTTATATTCTTGGCCATAAACTCAAGAAAACAATGTCATACCCTCTCTAGTGTCCTCCATACTTATTAAATATATTTCTGCTTTAATATGTAAAGGAGATGGCTGAAATAGTGAATGAGTATAGGTCATGAAAATAGTCCTACAGGAAATAAAATAGACATTAGAAAATATAAAACAAACAAAAAAATATTTTAGTGTTAAGATCAATGGCACATAATGTAAAGAGTTGAAACTAAAGAAAAAAAAGAAAATTTAGATTAAATAGTCATTAAATATGTAAGATAAATGACAATTTCAAAAACTGTGGAACAGTGGAATGTCTTGAAGTACATAGCATGGTAAAAAACGTTTCAGTGGCAACTTTTTGGATTTAGTACAACTTTGGAAAATAAAAGTGGGCATGGTAAATAAATTACCTGAGTTACTAGAATTTAAACCAATGTGGGAAAAAAAAAGTTAGATCTTTGTGATAGCCAAATAATGGGGGTTAATATTTAAAATTCAAAGAGTGAAATTTATTAGCACTTGTAGGTTGTATTAACACAGAACTAAATGATGGCTAATTATAAAAATGCCTAAGTAATCTTTTTTCTTTGACGATGAATAGACTTGTACAGATGAGGCTGTGTGTTCTGCTGTAAATAAGCACACGCTGTCTGCAAAGCATTTCACCTGCTAATGTAGCATTAAGGATAAAAACCAAGGGCAGTTTATATTTTCAGGTTCTTGCTTCCTCTGTAGAAAGACAAAAGGGACCAGGCAGAGTTGCACATGTGGACAAATATAATTGAAAGACGGGTGTTTTAGGAAGTGCTACATATTCAGTGGGAGAGAGCAGGGGGCATGCTTTATACTTATTAGAGCAATTGGAGTAAAATTACTCATTTTAGAACTATTTTGAAACCTTACTTTGAGAATCATTTTGAGAACCATTGAGACGTTATTTGCAAGAGAAAGAAGAAATCACATGGTAAGAAAACATAAGAAAAGGAATGTAGGTGTTAAGTACCTATATTTTCTAAGCACTTCACAAGAAGTACTTCATTTGTATTCATTTAATCTGTCTTTACTTCATCTACACAAAACCCCCTAGATATCACTATTCTTTTTCTATATTTGTGGATAGTACAATTAGGAGCACTTTAAGATCAGACTGCCAGTATCATACTGTCAGGGTTTGACGTGATATAAAATAAGTTAAAAAAAAATCCTTTTCACTACAACACTCATATGGCATCAATCTTTACTAGTGTTCTGAAGTTTGAGAAAACAACATGAAAACTTGTATAGGATATTATCAATGTAACAGAGATGAATTTTAGAGGTCTAGAAGCTTTTTTTGGTCCTTATCTTCATGAAAAGCAAACTATAATTCTGTACTCAGAATGATAGGTTAGATGTGTTTGTGAAAGTAATAGGGAGATTTTGACAGTAATATTTGGGACTGATTATTGGGCGATAAGAAAGAAACTGCTAAAATATTCTGGGCCAGTGGTTCTCAATTTAGCACATATCGTAAGCATCTGGGGCTTAAGAATTTGCATTGTCTAACTAGCACCTGGGTGAACTGATATTGCTAGGCTAACGGCCTCACTTTAAGAACCACAGCTCCAGGTAACAGACACCTGCATCCAGAGAGACACAGGATGATAATACTCATCTGGACTTCCTACTGACTTGGAACTCGTTAGACAAAGGAATAGGATGTGGGTGATACTATCTTATCATTGATTATAACACAGTTAATTATATTAAAATTCTAACATTTTAATTCTGAAGTTAAGAATCTAATTTCCCATAAAGGATCTGAATTAATATATAAAAACTGCTTTAAATTCCTGAAAATATTAAGAAGAAAATAAATATACTACCCATCAGCAGAAAGAAATGTACTGTGTTTAAAACTGCATGTCACTGTTATGTAAAATGCCCTCATTCCTTCAGTGAAGGATAAAAATGGCATGCATAATTTAAAAAATAACTTAGTGGCTTGATTTTGAATATGCATTTTTATATTATTTGAATACATTCAGTACTTCTAAATAAAATGCATTTTCTCAATTGATTTTGTTGGATTATGTACAAAAATGCATTCAGTTACTTTGAAATATAGCTATACATTTTACTTCTGTATCTCATTAGACAGCTCTCTTAAATTTATACATTATAGGAAGAAATATGGGGCAGATGAGAGAAAGTTTTCCTTTATTTGTTTTGTTACATTTTCTATTTATTCAATAAAGAATGGATATGATTAATTATAGATTATTTAACAAAGTATCTTTAACAAATTAAAGCAATTCACTTTATCTATTGAGCATGATATAATACTTTCTTCAAAATTAGATCCTTTAAGTAATTTTAAGCAGCAAAATAACAGCATTTACTGTTTCACGTAAAATCAAGTGATATAATCTAATATAATCAAATGCTATCAAAACAGAAATTTCTTTAATTTTGAGAATGTTGAATGAATATTTAAAAGTGCATATTTCTAAAGAAATGATTGAACCTAAAACAGGCACATAACTGTAATTTTATATTGAGTTAAAAAATAGGAATATCTTTGCAATTATTGAGTTAAATGAAAAGGAATATTTTATTGTATTGAACCACAGTAAGTCTGTGTTTAAATACTTCTCTAAATAAAGTATTTCTAATGTATTAAATAGTTCACACTGTGGGAAAACAGGATGGGATTTAAAGAAGTAAATGTTGCTTTCTAATATGATTTTCTGAATAAATGGTTTAATCCTTAGAACGATGTTAGGACTGGGGATTTCCAGATGGAAAATACAATTCTGAATGTCAAGTTCATGGTATTCAAGCTCTTCTGCTTTAAATGTCAGGGCTGTTTGCCTGTATCAAGCACTGGACTGATAAAAGCAGTCAGGGAAATAGAAAAACAGAAATGGAATCAAATATGACATATGAAAGAGCAGAGCAGAGTACTGTGAAAACTCATGTCCTTCATTGAAAAAGAAACAGTACTTGAATTACATTTCTGAAAAGGGGTTAGGTTGTTTTTAAATTTTGTAATCATCATCATAAAATTATAAAATTGTAAAAAGAAAATTGACCTTTGCACAATCTGATTTAAGAGAACAAAATCGAATGATTTTTTTTCATTGTGTGATCAAAAGTTAAAAATAGAAGGAAGTGTACCCTCCCTTTTTGTAGGAAGTATACACACAAATAGTTTTTCTTTTTCACTAACAATGATTTTTCTTACTTGCCTTTTCTCCTCCTTTGAACATAAGAAATACTAACGCTTATTTTATCAAACCTTTATGCGATGAGAACTTGTTTGACATACTGATGATTGTCAACATATTTTTTTCCAGTGGAAAAAGAACAGAGAATGTTTATCCATTATATACCATCACTTCCAGTGGGATATAAATCTAAAATGATATAAATGCAACCTCTCAGTTCAAGAATTTTTATACACAATGTTTAGGTGTTTATGTTTTAGGTGTTGAATCACACAGTTGATTTTTAACATGTTTTGTTTTGGTTGCTGACAATATAACATGTGAAAACATACTGAAGTAAAAAAAAAAAGAATGTGGTATAATATACTCTATGGACACATGGGATAAAAATCAGAAATAGGAACACTTTCATTTTTTTTTAGAAGAGCATAAAATTTCAGCCATACTTCTCTATCCTTGCTATATCCCCTTATATAGAAAAAATGTATTCTTATCCTTGTTTTATATATAATGCCCTTGTATTGCACTTTGGTTTTATAGGGAAAATTATGCTTAATTAAAAAAAATCTCATTATAGTAGCTAGATAATAAAATTTGCTTAGTATAACTAATCTATTAATAATAATAATAAATCTCTTAAAATATTGCAAATTAAGTAAAAATTCCCTGGCTATTATAAGGTAAATAAAGGAAAGTTCAACTTGAATCTAGTATATCTTCAAGTTAGACAAGTTTCTTATTGCAAGGATAATTAGGTTTATTTATTTTTTAATTTTTTTAATGGAGGTAGTGAGGACTGAACTGGGGACCCAGTGCCTACCAAGCATGACATCTACTGCTGAGCTATACTTGCCCCTCCTTATCCTTTTTGATTGTTTTCTGTGGAAGGGATTAACGTATGTTCTTATGAGATGATTAAACAAATAGAAGTTCACCCCAAACTTTATTTCTTTAACTTTAATTATCTATATGGAAGTTGAGGGTTTAGTAAACTTACACTCTCTTGACCTTTTATCTCTCTTTCCTTCAAGTACGTGGTAGTATTATGAAATCTCCTATTGCTTACCTTTGAGTAATGTATTTAAAGCTTATTTAGTTTTCTCTGCTCTACAATTCCCTCCACTCAATAACAATAACTAGTTACTCCCCACAATGCAAATTTTTGGAGCTTCTTTGCTGTATGCTATTCTCATGCCAAGAACTCTTTCACACAACTTCCACTCACCTGGATTTTTGAACACTCATTTCTGTGTCTTCAACTCTGCAACCCCTTAAGATCTCTTGGAGTGAGAATGTGCTCCCTGACAGAAATCAGAGCATTTATAGGGCTTTCTTCATTTGTTTTCCCTTCCTCAGGGTTCATATTACTGTGCTTCAAACGTAATGACTGAAACTGTTGTTTCATATTTTGTCCAAATTCTCTTCTTTTAAGATGAAGGGTTACATCTAGTAATATGATGTTACTTCATCATGGTCAGACAAAAGTCTACATTGTTTTTTCAAAGTTTGGCACATAATTACATATAATTATAATGTATAACCAGGGTTAAGAATCACTCTATAAAGTAGAGTGCACTTTCTTTCAAAGTAGAGAAACTGTACTTAAAATAAGATACATATTAATTTTCTGTCTATTCCTTCAAATTCTAGCCAGTTTCATCTTACCTCAAAAGATAAAGGGTATTTTTAATTTTTTAAGCTAACCTTTTATTTCATTTATCTTTTCAGTTTCTTGCTTTTTGAAGTTCAGCTTTCACATCAGTAGTATTGACATTAACTAAGAGCACATTAAAAATCTAGATGTGCAGCCTCTCTCCCAGATCTGCTGAGTTGAGTCCTAATATTTACAAGATCTTTAGGTGAGTACCTTATAACCTGAGAAATCCTAAATAATATACACACTAAAAAATTGATGAAAAACAAATGAAGTTGATATATGAAGACTCAAGAAAGCTAATGAGACTTTTAAAAGACCATCTTAAGGGTGAATTATCTTATTTCCAGTTGTGTGCATCATGTATATGCAACTTCTTTTATATGACACACTTCTACATTATCTTCAAGAAAAATCTCCCACTAAAGTGGGAAAGTGGTGCTCAAAGTAAATGTCATATTGTGGAAAGTGAATTCTAGCTCTTGTATTTTATTTGTAATCCAGTTTCAGTGTATAGGTCAACAGCAACATGCTATCTTTTTCTTATATTAGTTTATTCTGTCATTTAGTTCCATTTAGTGTCTTGTTGTGTTAGAATTGTTAGAGTACACATAAACCAGTTCAAGGAAAGAATGGTCATTCTTTGGAAATAATTGACAGAACAATAAACCTTTTACTACTCTACTTTGCAGAAAGTCAAGACACATCAATAGTTGTGTCACTACTTCTGCAGTTCTAAAATTTATATGGAATGCTGTAAATGGATAGGTGGCTTATCACATTTCTTGAGAGAAAAGTAAAATACTTTTGAAAGATGAATATAAATATATTATTTATCAGTAAGGTAAATTTAGCAGTATTTGTTTTTCTGCTTAGTCTTTCCTTCAACTTAACAAATTAATAAGTGAGCATGTTATAAATATCTTCTGGGAGCCAGGCAATGTGCTGGGGGCTGCATAGAAAGATAAATAAGATGCCATTACTTTATCAAAAAGCTAAAAATTCAGGATCACATAAGGTATAAACACGAAAAAATTCAATGGGAAGTAAGGTAAGTGTCATTAAAGAATACATGTGGATGTAAGAGAGAGAAAGAGAGAGAGAGGGAGATAACATCATTAGCTTTGAAATCAAATGAAAATTCATGGAGAAAAGATAAAATGTGGTCAGTGCTAGTGATATCTGGTTGGAATTCCTGGTGGATAGTATCACATTAGGAAAATTCTGATGGAAGGAGACAGAAGTCGTTTACCTGGTTGATTATATAGGAAATTGGAGGAAAGAAATACTTAAAATGATAATTTGGGTGTGGCCAAGTATGGGAAGGGAGAATTTGTATGCAATGTGTTAGGCAGTCAATTTCACTTGTCAGATACCTTACTCTCAGTATCTCAGTATCATTTGTTGATGAGGTTTTCCTAAGTTTAATACTTAGTACTGACATGCTAAGGAGGGTGGCTTCTTCCAACAAGCTTTACAAAATGCTTTGTGCATCCAGTGTGAACCTAAGATTTACTCTCTCAGTATAGGGTGTTCAAAGACAGAACACTGGTTTTCCATCTGATAATATGCATGGTCAAGTGGTGTATCCTTTCTCAATGAGCTATATACTCTTCCTCACTGGGCAAAGAGAGTTGCTATGAACCTATCTCCATAATTGAAGTCTGGCCAAAAAACAAAACAAAAATTTTTGAATAAAAATATCGTTTTGCTCATACTGGACCCCTCAGATACTATAATGTTACATGTGTTATGCTTTACATTTCCAAATCCCTCTTTGAATTCTCAGTGCAGCAGGGCAGTGCCTGTTCCTGCTTAATCAGGTAGATTCTATATGGAGGGAAATGTAATTTAAGTTAGAGTGCTAAGATGGCACTGGGGATAAAAGTATTAGGCCCTAGTGATACAGAAATATTCATATTCTCAGAAAGCTCAACATAGAGGAAATACCATTTTCTCATGAGAAGAGGGTAGAAAAGGTACTCTATCCACAGCAAATTATAGCCTCCCCATGGTTAGTAGCTCTTGCCTTATTTCTGAATAACAAATTGTCCTGCATTGCATGCCTCTCCTCCAAATTTGTGGCTCTGCATTTTAATTTTGCTAAAATATAATTCCAAATAAGGAACAATACAAATAACACACCACAAAGTTACCAAGACAAATTCTTCTTAATAAACAGTAAAATTTTCATTTAATCCCCCATTGTGCTCTTGGCTTCACTTATTGCTTAGTCCAAAAACCCAACTTTATCTTGACATTTACTATCTGACTATTCCCTCTACCTATCCAAATAATCATTGCTGTTTAGACAAAGGCAACATCATACCCTGATGTGATGAACAGTGGTAGCAATTCTACTCCATTTCACCACGAGGGCAGAAAAGTTAGAGCAAAAGAACATTCTTTATCCACAGAATATCCCCATAAAGAAATTGAAGCCACAGACCATTGGAAAAAATGGGAAGTATTGGTTAAAAATTCAGATAGTTTGTTTGGCATCTGTAGGCTAGAATGGAAAGAAAAACAAGAAGAAAATATGTATGTATGGAAAGTATTTTCTTTACTGCAACAAGTATTTTCTGAGCACTTATTATATATAGACACTGGAAGGCACCCTTAAATCTAAAAGTTACCCTTGCCAACAAGTAGCTCAGGATTTAGCTGTTGAGAGAAGAAAAGGAAATAATTCATGAATAACCAATGAGGGACCAAATCAGGAAAAGAGAAAGGTATCAAGTAATAGTAAAATCTGACGGGAATCACAAGGAGGGAAGAAGGTTCTGGAATAATGCAAACTGATTCTTCCATAAATACATTTGAGGGCTCCTGCTAAATTGTCAACATTCTTTCCAGCAGCCTTGCAACCATAAAAATTATACAAGTGCAGCTCTGATTCTTAACATAAAAAGGAAAACTGCATTCATCCATGCAGGAAGAATATTTCAGAGAAGTAAAAAGAAGCTTCAAGTGGAGGCTAATAAGGGTATTTGAAACGTTCATAGGACATTGTTTTATCAGTTTTTAATTTTTCACTTTATTTCATTTGTCTCTAAATCAAGATAGTTTCCAATGTAAATTATTGGCCTGTTGTGAAGATCAAAATTAAAAATATAGTACAAGGTGCAAAGTGATGTCCAGATAGTATTAAAGTCATTCCTCTTTGCTGCTGAAACTATAAAGCCCTTAAAAATAAATTTAAACTAGAAAACTTAGAGTAGATTACTAATTCCATATGGAGTAAAATAGCTATGACATAATTTTGGTGCACCAGTTCATGAAATTGGGTCTTTTGATAATTTGATTGATGTAATTTTGTTCTCCATAGATTTATGATTTATAGCAAACTGACTTTAAAAATTATGAGATGCAACTGATTGATGTAATTAGACCATGAAAGTGAATGAAATCTTCTGACATATTAGGCAGTAACTCATTTAAATGAGGTGCCTAATTTGTTAGCTTCCAGAGTCAGATCAATTTTAGATAAGTAATTTATATCACTGAATTATATTCCAATTCATGAGGACAAAAATATTAAACACTGTACGGACTGTTGAGGGACTGCCAAAAAAGCATGATTTTAGTGCTGAGAAGGTTAAGTGTATAAATGTTTAATGACTTAAACCAACAAGCAAAGATTTTTAAATGCAATAAAAATAAATGATATAGTTGAAAGCAGTGACAATTGCTAATTTATGAACTATTAAAGCTTACCAGCTGGGCTAGGTACTGCCAGGTATGGTCTTCTAATGAAGGAAGTCTTTTGCAAGCCAGTAATATAGTTGTAATTTACCTCTAATAATGTATTCTAATAGAATTTGTACGAAGAATTTGAAATGCCATTTTCATTGGTAATGAAAGGAGTGCTGGTTTATAACTGAACTGCAGGGATCTATTTATACTCACTTAACTACTCACTGAGGCTTGAGTATGTATATGGATGGTATTTATGCAAAAATAAAAATATACTGGGTGAGAATGACTTGTCACTTAGTCAAGACACTGTTTCAAGGTGCACACAGTATAGTGCATGTTCCTCTCATTGTTCATCAAGAGAGAAGCTGGAATCCAATTTGGAATACTGCACCTTTTTCAGTTGGAATAAAGGTATTTGCAGCCTATGAAGTAAAGTAGCAATTGCAAATAGCTGCAAACTAGACCACTGGAGAGTAAGAGAAAACAAAGTAATAGTCTGAGTCTATGCCAAGAACTGCTAATCATACAATTTATCTCTTTAACCCACACAGACAGGGGTGAAGAGTCATTGTCATCTTTTGTTTGGAACAATAAACATTTACAAACGTGTAAATGTGCTACCATTTGAGATGTCTAAATTTCACATTTTTAATGTGTTTTACCATATTATTAGAAAGTGTATATCTTTTGTGAGTGATATATGAATTAAATGAATATTCTTTTAAACTAATTTAATATGTTTATGTGTCCATATCCATGTGTATTATTTTCTCATATTATCTGGAACCAACTGAACATTCAGTTTATATCCCAACTCTCATTCCTTTCTTTTGGACAGGATTTTCATCTATTTTAATATGCACTGTTATTTTCTAAACGTCAAACCCTTTTGTTCATGAGCAGGAAACAGTACAGCTTACAAAAAAGAGGCAACTTTTACCCAACAGCTGAATGAATCACCCAGGGCCAAGTCCAGAATACTTGCTTCCTAAGAAAATTATACTTAAGGGCATTTTATTTTTATATCTTTTAGCTAAAGTCAGATATTAGAGATTTCAAAGAATCACAGTAATCCAGAGAAAATGTTATAGGGTAGGTATATGAGAATACTGAATTTTTTTAAATAATTTTTTTCATTGAAGTATAGTTGATTTACAGTGTTGTGTTAGTTTATGGTATGCAGCATAGTGATTCAGTTATACACATATATATATTCTTTTTCATGTTCTTTTTCATTATAGGTTATTACTAAACATTGAATAGTTCCCTATGCTATGCAGTAGGACCTTGTTGTTTGCCTAATTTATATATAGTAATTTGCATCTCCTAATCACAAACTCCTGGTTTATCCCTCCCTCACCATTTCCCCTTTGGTAATCATAAGTTTGTTTCACCATAAGTGAGTTTGTTTCCGTTTTGTAAATAAGTTCATTTGTATCATTTTTTAGATTCAACATATAAGTGATATCATACAGTATTTGTCTTTCTTTCTCTGACTTTCCTCACTTCATATGATAATCTCATTCATGCTGCTGCAAATGGCATTATTCCATTCTGTTTTATGGCTGAGTAATATTCCACTCTGTGTATGTGTGTGTATATATATATATATATGTGTGTGTGTGTGTGTGTGTATATATATATTACATCTTCTTTATCCAATCATCTGTCTGTGGACATTCAGATTGCTTTCATGTCTTGCCTACTATAAATACTGTTGCTGCAAACATTGGGGTACCATAGGTAAATCAATGAAGTTAGAACATTCCCTCACATCATACACAAAAGTAAACTCAAAATGGCTTAAAAACTTAAACATAAGACAGGACACCATAAATCTCCTAGAAGAGAACATAGGCAAAACATTCTCATATAAATTGTAGCAATGTTTTCCTAGGTCAGTCTCCCAAGGCAGTAAAAATAAAAGCAAAAATAAACAAATGGGACCTAATCAAACTTACAAGCTCTTGCACAGCAAAGGAAACCATAAACAAATAAGACAACCTATGGATTGGCAGAAAATATCTGCAAATGATGCAACTGACAAGGGCTTAATTTCCAGAATATATAAACAGCTCATACAAGTCGATAACAACAACAACAAAACAATTCAAAAATGGGCAGCAATTCTCCGGTGAAGACATACAAATGGCCAATAGGCACATGAAAAAATGCTCAATATTGCTGTTATAAGGGAAATGCAAATCAAAACTGCAATGAGGTATTACTTCACACCAGTCAAATTGGCCATCATTCAAAAGTTCACAAACAATAAACCCCGGACGCACTATGGAGGAAAGAGAACCCTCCTACACTGTTGATGGAAATGTAGTTTGGTGCAGCCACAATGCAGAACAGTATGGAGATTCCTTAAAAAAAATTAAAAATAGACTTACCATATAATCCACATGATCCTGGGCATACACCATATGATATACCATATGGTATATTCCCAAAAGTGAGTAGCAGTCCCACTCTTAGTCATATATCCAGAGAAAACTCCAATTTGAAAAGAAAGTTTTATTGTTTTGTCTTCTTTTGTTTTAGATTTCAGAAAGTGGGGTGATAGGAAGAGTGAGATTGAAGTTTTAAAAAATCAGAAAACAATAGTTGTGTATGTTTTTAACAGGTACCATGAAAAGTCAGTTTAGCTGTCAGACTTATGCCAACATTGGTGCCAATAAGTGCTAAGATGATTTCTGACTCTGAAGTTTGTCTTTAGAGATATTTTGCTTTCTCTCTGTTGTATGTTTATTGAGTCGCACAGACACTCCATAAAACCGGGACATATCCACACAAAGAGGGGTCAAGGATTTTTGAAAGAAGTAAACGACAGAATTGTACTAGGTATCAGTTTTATAATAAAAAGTTATACCCATGTCAAACTGAGTTTTAAGGTCCTATGATTTAAACTCCTTTATGTGCAAATCATCATTTAAGTGGTTATAAAAACATAATATATATCTACGTCCACATCTCTCTATCCACCCTCCTTGGAGATCAAATACCTACTACTTTAGTTATCTCAATATCGTCCTAAGCCTTTGAAATATTCTGGCTTGCAACTACTAAATCTGATATTTCTAATTTTAGAAGTGACTGTTTCACAGTAAATTCCAAAAAGGAAATAAATTCCTGAATAGTACTCATTATTTATAGGAAATATCAGCTCCAATAATAGGATTATGTTGAAAACAAATTCTAATTTTACATAGTAACAGGCCACTAAATACAGAGCTGCAAAATGTGTATTTATGGGGATCATGATCTGTCAAGCACGAGATGACCTTGAAGACTTTTATCAGACTCCAACTGTCACCAGTCACCATACTGAGTCCTTCACATACGTTCTACATTTAATGTTTACAATCACATGAGGCTCCCCACTTTATAGAAGAAAACTGACACTCAGATTAACTAATTTACTTAAGGGCATCTGTCTAAAAGTGATAGAGCCAGTAATCTCACCAAGTCTGTGTAAATGCAAAACCTGTGCTCTTTTCACTCTCTTATAGTTTAGTGGTTTTATACTTTATTTCTGCAAATCCTATATAAATTTCTAACTGAAAACTAAAGCTCTAGAGGAGTGGATTTAACTGTACTGTAGTCAAAATGCTTTGAGACAAACATTCTGCCAAGATGAATTCTTTGAGACCTCATTTTCTTTCTTGATTTGGTCCACATATACCATTTCTCCTGATTAAAATACTCTACATCCCTTTACATCTAACTGAAGGTCTACCCCAGTTTGAACTTTTGATAAAGCCAATTCTTATATGAAAAATACAATCTTCCTTCACTGGGCTCTTTGCCCATAATTTATTATAGCGTCATGACACTGTGTTGATAATTATACATTTATAAGTGTGTTTTCTAAGGATCCTGAAAAGTAGGAACCCAACCTTGTTTGTCATTGTGTCCTTAACATTCAGTCGGTACCAAACAGAAGGATGAGTGAAAAAAGTGGATGAATCCCAAACCTAATGAACCAAGCTAAGGGAACTGTGAAGGGCAAGGGGTCCTTTCACAGTGGCTGTGCCTGAAGGGTTTAGGATGCAAAATCTTCAACTCTGGATTGTCCCACTAACAACTGCTATGAGCTGAAACCCAAACTAGCAAAAACATCCAACCGAAATGCTAGGAAAGTACGTGCAAGAAATAAAATCTGTCTATGGAATCTCATAGCCTCATCTTCAGGTACCACATTCTCTATCCAACTATGCTCCATCCTGCCCAAGTGGCCATTTTGTGATGTCCACATATTTACCACATCGAAACAACTTCTCCAGAAATGATCCAGTCAGTTCTCTTAATGGAGAAAATAAATGACTGATAGGCCCTTTTACTGCTATTTCCTTAAAGGGGTATTTAGATTTCACTAGGAAAGAAAGAAAAACATAAAAATAGGAAGAAACTTCTGTGGAGTTTCAGGCCTCAGAAAATTGAGTAAGAAGCTACAGACGGTGGCAAAGTAACGCTTCCAGTTCCCATCAAGTCACTCCAACTTTAAGAGTCAATTATACTTTTTGTTTAATGAGTCTTCCTTTTTTTTTTTTAATGTCCCTTCCCTCGTGTCAGGGTGTTCATGTCCACAGAAGAATTTAATCTATTTTCAGAAAACTATCTGATTAAAATTGCTTTAGATCAGTGGTCTTCAACTCTTGCTACACACATCAGAATCATGTGAGAACTTCTATCTCTCTCTCTCTCTCAACTGTCTATCATCTATCTATTTATTTCTTCACCAGAAAACCTTAATATTTCCCTCAGCTCAGTTAAATTTTAGACAGGCTTCTTCCTGAGTATAGGTCCTGATCTCACTTTGCTTAGAGCACTTTTAGGAAATGTATAATTGTAAATTCTTTCCGTGTCCCTTTGACATGCAAATCCCTTTAAAAGCCTCTTGACAGTTTTACAACTCAGGAGTGCCTTTCTCAAGGACCTGAAATGTAGTCATCAAGGAGGATGGTGTCCCTATGTCCCTGTATCAGAGGGAGGGTAGGAGTCTAAGTTTTGTGGGTGCCTTGCTCCAAGTTACAAAACTATCTTCTGTACGAATATATGAGAGAGTTTACTTTTTCTCTGGACAAGGTCAATGAGCAAACACAAGTGGCCTACAAATCTCCCCACTTTAGCTCTTAAAAATTCTCTTGACTTTCATTTCAGTGGGGTTGAATGCAATCTCTTTCCCCTCGTACAGTAGCTTTGAATAATGTTTTCCCTAACTGCTTAAATTTAGTGCAACTTAGCTTTTGACACAATTCATTTCTCTCCAGCTGCTCGGATCTTCTCAAATCTTGAATTCCACAGGTTTGGACTTGCTTATTTACCTGTTTTAAAAATCTCTACAGTTGATTCTGATATGTAACTTGGTTGGCCAACCATGCATTTATGTATTAACATAAATTCAAATCTGCTGGGTCAAGATATACTTGCCAGTCATGTTTTCTGAATATGGGATGAATGTAAGTGAGCCCTGATACGTATGAAATGCAGAAGTAGCAGCAAATAATTCTAAGTGATTATTGGGTGGAGACAAGTTAACATAACAACAATGGTGTCAAATACTATATGAAACAAGTATGTAATACTTTTTCTGACTTATTTTAGTCACCCACAAATCCCCCCAAAATAAACTAGATATGACAATTATATATGTCACATATTTCAAAGATTTTTCTGGAAAAAATAAAAAGGCAATGTGTAGTGGAAAGACTTGGCTCAGGCAGTTTGAGCCCAGCCACTACTTTGTCACCAGGCTATAAAGGCTTTGTGAAGACCAAATGACTAAAATGCTATTGAAAACTGTCAACTCTAAAGCCCTCTAGAAACATAGGTGTTGCTGGTGATGAATGATTGAAAGGATAACTAAATAATTTGATATTTTTGAAAAAGAAAATGTGCCCTATGCTTTAACTGTTGCTCATGTGTAAAAATACCAGCAAATAAGTGTAAGTGTACCAGGTCTGCCATTATGACCAATTAGCTAATTAGTAGGGTTTCTAATAGTATAAGTAAAGCCATTGAATGACACTTAATCAATGGAGAATTCTTTAGTACAATAAATGTCTTTGAACTTCTGTATAAGTCAGTTATAATCCAGGGGACTAACTACTGACAACTATTATGATATTAATATTGAAAATTTCAGTTAAAATTCATTAAAAGTGATCCTGTATTATGTGTCTGTGTACAATAAAACATCATAATGTAACACTGCAAAACACAATGAAACTGGTCGATAAGAATTAGTGTATCAATGGTTTAGCAGACAGAGAGAACAAAGTCAGAATACTGCTGTTTGTTACATAGTAGAGAACCATTACCTGCTAACAGATTTGTTTCTGCCATTATGACAAATTAAAGGAGATCACTACAAGCACAAAAGCATTAACATTCTGGCGTGGAGGTTTAGATGTAATTTGGTACATTGCCAAGCAGATTAATGTCTTGTTT